TCTTAATAGATAACCCTTAACAGAAGAAGATACATTGTTGCTTGTATATAATGGTGGTTTGAGAAGATCTGGCAGTCATAATATCCTGGAGGAGAACCAGAAGTGATGAGTAGACGGGGAGAATTTTGACGCTGTTTGAGCGAAGTTCATCGATGATGGACAATTGAGAAAAAGTCCAATGACAGTTAATGACCGAGTGTAAAACTGAAGGAGAGAATTAGAGGGTGCTTTGCAAGTAGTAGTTGAGCGATAATTTGATGATGGCTGAAGTAAAGGATCGATAGCGAACATCGGGCGAAGAGCTGATGATGACGGTGGTCCAATTGCATTTTGCTAAGGTAATATATATCAATATTGACATGTGCAGTTATCAAATATCCCTTTCTTTGAAGAAGAAGTTGTAAGAGGTCCTTCAATGCATAATAGAGAAGAGGTCAATAGAATCTACCAAAGATATTTGACTTTTTTGAAGTTGTTTGTTGCTTAATAATTATAATTTTTACGGTTGATGCCAATGTACTTTTTAATTTTAACTTCTAGTGAGAACAAATGTACACATGAATATGTATATGTGTAAGTCCATTAATATTGTATAAGAAGTTGAGAACTTGTTATTCGGAGCAAGCTGGATTGTGATTGCATCTTTCAGGCATGCTTTGATATATTGCCCCCTATATTTTTGTGAGGGTATTTTAGACTATTGAAGTCTTTATATGAGTGATGAATTTATCAACCACTTGCTTTCATGGAATTTTTATAGAGAGAATATTGTTCACTCAGAGCACTGCTCGACCTCTATGGAAGAGGTCGAGAGAATCCACCAAGGATGTAGGATCTTATCTGAGGTTGTATGTCAGAGCTTTTCTTGATGACGTTAACTTATATGGAAGAGGTTGAGAGAACCCATCATGGATGCAAGACCAATATGAGATTATATGTAAAAGTATTTTCTCGATGACGGTAACCTATATGGAAGAGGTCGAGAGAATTCACCAAGAATATAAGACATATTCAAAGTTGTATGTCAGAGAACTACTTGATGACGTTAACATATATGAAATAGGTTGAGAGAATCCACAAAGGATGTAAGACCTATATGAGATTGTATGTCAGAGCATTTTGCTCGATGACGATAACCTGTTTGAAAGAAGTTGAGAGAATCCACCAATAATGTAAGACCTATCAAAGATTGTATGTTAGAGCACTGTTCGATGATGTTAACCTGTGTGGAAGAGGTTGAGAGAATTCACCAAGGATGTGAGATCTATCTGAGATTTTATATCAGAGCCCCGCTCGATGACGTTAACCTATATGAAAGAGGTCGAGAGAATCCACTAAGGATATATGACCTATCCGAGGTTGTATGTAAGAACACTTTGCTCGATGATATTAACCAGTATAGAAGAGGTCGAGAAAATCCACCAAGGATGTAAGACATATCCAAGGTTGTATGTTAGAGCCCCGCTCGATGACGTTAACCTGTGTGGAAGAGGTCGAGAGAATCCACAAAGGATGTAAGACCTATCCGAGGTTGCATGTAAGAGCATTGCTCGATGACATTAACCTGTGTGTAAGAGGTCCAGAGAATCCTCCAATAATGTAAGACCTATTCGAGGTTGTATGTCAGAGCACTTTGCTCGATGATGTTAACCTGTGTGGAAGAGGTCGAGAGAATCCACCAAGGATGTGTGACCTATCCAAGGTTGTATGTAAGAGTCTCAGCTCGATGATGTTAACTTATGTGGAAGAGGTCGAATCGAATCCCCTGAGATTAATTTTGCCTTGATTGGGAGGGGACAAATGACGCGTGTATCCCGAATTAAAAGTGAAGAATGGTCTATTTTTAAACCGTTAATGTCTTTTTGAGGTCGAGATTAAGACCTTGCCCAAGGAGTAGAAGTCCAGTAAGTGATTGTATGTGACTTTCAGAAGCATTCTTGCATTTGCCGGGAGTTTCCTTATATATCGTCTTGGTTTCTAAAGTCTTGCAGTTACCACGAGTTTCTAAAATTATAGTAAAGGTTGCCCCCCAATCTGGAATTGATTTTCATGAAATTGATACATCGATAGAAATTGAATAACCTTTTGAGGTTGGAGCAAAAATGCCCCCTAGTCGGGAACCACATTCCCATAGATGGCGCCAAACTGTTGCGTCCTGGAGTATTCGCGGTGGTAGAGAAATATAAAGTTTAGTGTCTTAGCATTATACAAAAATCCGACGCGCAATCAGATAAGAGAGATAGTGTAGCATTCATATGAGACACCAAATTTTCTATGTGGAAAACCCCTGGAAAGGGTAAAAAACCACGAGGCCTAGTCTAGTTTGAATGAATCTACTATTATTGCAGTTGATTACAAATGAGGCCATTCATTGGGGGAAGACCTTAGCTTGATGTACATCTTACCGAGTACAATAATGTGAATACAAAGAATCATTGTTGACGTGTTCGTTTGGTCTGAAGGATCGTAGTTAATGAGTGATGTAAGTCAGAAAAACCATAGTCAGCTGGCGACGGAGGTCGGAAGGACTGTAGTCGGTGGGCAACGTAAGTCAGAAGGACCGTAGTCGGCAGGTGATAGAGGTCGGAAGGACTGTAATCGGTGGGCGACGTAAGTCAAAAAGATCGTAGTCGACGGCCGATAAAGGTCGGAAGGACTGTAGTCTGTGAGCGACGTAAGTCAGAAGAAACTATAGTAGGTGAGCGACAAAGGTCAGAAAGATGGCGTAAGGTAGAAATCCAATAATGGATAGAAATCCAGCATCAGATAGATGTCCAGCAAAAGTACAATAATAGGCAGAAGTCCGGCGTCAGATAGAAACTTGGCGATGAGCAGAGGTCCGGTGTCGGGTAGAAATCCGACATCAATTGGCGGTCGAGGATAACTCCAGCGTTAGATGGTATTCATGTAGAACTTTGACGTCACTTGGAGTTCGGGTGAAACTCCGACGTCACTTGGAGGTCGGGCAAAATTCCAGCGTCACTTGGAGGCCATGCAAAATTTTGGCGTCACTTGGAGTTTGGGTGGAATTTCGACGTCATTGGAAAGTCAGGCCGAATTCCGGCGTCACTTGAAAGTCAGGCGGAATTCCGGCATCTTGCGGAAGTCGGGCAGAATCCATCAGTGGTCGAGGAGGAGTTTCTTCCCTCCTACTCTTTTATTCTTCTTCTTATCTTCTTCTTCTTTCTTTGGTCCCCTTTCAATAGAAATAAGGGGTCTATTTATAGTTTTTTGGAGTGGCCTGGCCCGTAAATAGGCGAGAGATCAGGGGTAAATGGGGAGTGGTTGGATGGACGACCGATATTGAATCCCTTGATCATATTCTGTTCGTTAAACATTTGAAGCTCTTAATGATGTTGGAATTTGGTGATCTTGGGCTCGTTGGATTTGGTTCGTCGAGCTGCTTGATTCGAATGTAAGCTCTAAATGTTTGGAAACCGTTTGGTAACTCAAATTGTGGTACGAACTTTCCAATAGCACTTCAGGTCCTTGATTTGGACACATTTGGGCTCGGATTGAGTCGAAATTGGTGTTGTTGGGTTCATATTTCCAAGACGCTCAGTTTGACTATAAGTTCGCTGAAATCAGAGTTCAAGTGATCCCAGATTTAATTTTTGAAGTTTTCGCTTGATTTTGCCTCGAGATTTGAGCCCGATCAAGATAATTTTTTAAGGATATATAAATAATAAATTTTTAAAAAACTATAGTTTTATTTATACATGTAATGTTAATTAAAAGCACATATACAAAACTATTAAATTAGAATATAAATTCTAATTTAATTTTTTTTCAATATTATGTATATATTTAAAATTAGGATAGTAACTTGGAATATATGTTCGCTTACAGGAAAATTAATAGAATTAATAGATATTATGATTCATACACCACTATTAAAATAGGCTTTCACAACATTTTTTTGCCCTAGAGCAGTGATTAAAACACTGCTGCTATAGAGGTAGTTTTTAGCAGGGGTTTTAACCGCCAAAATTCTGCGATATTACAACAGTTTTTATACTTGCAAATATTGATATTGGATCTATAACAGCGGTTATAACACTTACAAATCTACAAAAATGAGTCTTTACCGGCGGTTATACCGCCGCAATACAAGGAAATTATTTTATTTGAACCTTACCATTTTACAAGGCTAGATTTTCAGTTTTTATCTAAAGTGTGATTACATTTCACATCTTCCTAGGGGCTATTTGATTTGCCTAAAAAGAAATATAATGCAAAGTAAATACTTGAGGTTATTTGATTATCTGTAAAATAAATACAGGGAGATTATTTTTTTATTTGGTTATATGTATGTAACATAGAATAAAATCACTCTTACAACCTGCTAAGCTATAAAAATTTCTTGTTACACTTGCTAAGCTTTATAAATTATGAGCAATATTTGTTGATTTTTAGCAAGAATTATGCAAAGTCATAGGATTTATGCTGTTAAACCTAACGACGGAATAAATCCTTGGGTTGTCTTATGATAACATTATGCTTGATCGTCTTCCTTAGATTGGGCTTACTCTTAATTACAGGAAAATCAATTATTACCGGCAGTATTTTCCGACGGAAAATGGTCATTTTTCGACGGTTTTGTGAATTTCTGACAGCTTTTCGACGGTAAAACACGCGCAGGAAAAATATTTCTGGCTGAAAAAGGCCACCGAAAAATACACTCTGTTTTGCTAAGTCCCAATCATTTTGCTGAGAGGGAAAATGTGTTAGAATTCGTATTATCATTTATTTAAACTATATCATACGAAAATTATAATTAAAAATTAATAAAAATAAAATATTAAAGTTAATAATTAATTAGACTATGTTATTAAATTAATAATTAATTAAATAAATTAATAATAAATTAAAATTGTTAATTAATTAAATTATTTAAGGAAATATGAATTTTCAAAAAATACTATGAAAAATCATCAGAAATTCTTCCGCAAAATTAGACTGCCAGTCGAAAAACCGCTCAAAAGCTATCGCAAAATATAGTAAGCCTCAGCTAAAGCGCACGAACCCTGCTCTAGTAATCAGCCGATGATCTTCCTCAACCACCAAAGTACTATTTTTTTGTTCGCGCAAAAAAGAGTCAACTTTAGTCGCTTAATTGCTTCAAACTCCCTCTCTCTTGGAATCCTTATGAACTCATTCCGTGCCGTTGCATGATGTTTCCATGAACTTGGTCGGGAGAAGATCAATTTCCTCTCGGCCGAATTTGAGGCATGAAGCCGAATCCAAAGTGGTTGCCCTGTGCAATCTCGGCCGCCTCAGAGAAGCAATTGAAGCCTTTTGCTCTTACCAGAGCCCACTATCTTCTTCCACCTACTCGCATCTCCTCCAGCTTTGCGTCGATACATGCGCCATAGATGAAGGAAAAATCCTCCATGAGAGTATTTTGGCTCGTGGGTATTGTCCAAATCTTCACCTGAACACCAAATTTATCATATTTTTTGCTAAAGCTGGAGATTTGGTTTCCGCTCGAAAGGTGTTTGATGGAATGCCTGAAAAAAATGTCGTCTCTTGGACTGCATTGATGTCTGGATACTCGCAAAATGGGTTATTGGAAGAAACTCTTGACATATTTTATTTGATGCATCGGGGGTGTAATAAGGCCAATCAGTTTACTTATGCTAGTGTTCTTAAGGCATGCACTGGAACCGGTTGTATTAGAAGCGGGTTGCAGATTCAAGGTTGCATTGAGAAGAGCAGATTTAGACAAAATTTATATGTGAATAGTGCTCTTGTGGATTTTCACTTGAAATGCGGAGTGCTTCAGGATGCTCAAAGTTTGTTTTGGAGAATGGAGGATAGAGATGTTGTATTGTGGAATTCCATGATTGGAGGGCATGCAGTTTGCGGTTTGGCTTATGATTCATTCAGATTGTTTTTCTCTATGTTGAAAGAAGGTAATCATTTAGAATTATAATTTCAGGGAGGTCGAAATGTACACTCAGAACTTGCATGTTTATGGTTTGCCATCCTAGTGGTAACGATTTATTTATATGTTGTTCATTATGTCATAATATGTTTGTCATGCCATGTAATTTCTGTTTGTAGATTGTGTTCATGGTTCCCCAATTGTATCTCTTTCTTACTAGCATATTCTTTTGTTATTTTCTTAACGAGTTAATATTATTGCTACTTTAAACGCAAAAGTAATCCTGGGTTGACTTCTAGAGGAGCCTGGAATAACACATTAACAAATAGGACTTTTGGGTTGCAGTTCAAGTGATAAAAGTAAAAACATTGAGATCCACAAGGATGCATGACAAACAGAGGAGCCTGAGTTATATTATGAAATGATATGGGATATGTAAGTTATTTCTAAAGGCTCATTTGGTTGTAGATGAAAATTATGTTTTTGAAAGTGAGGATTTTTGTTTTCAATCATTTGATTGTGAAGATGAAATTCTCACTTTTGAGGGATTTGAGGGCTTTTGTAGTGTTGAACATTCATGTTCATTTCTAACTACATCCAACCAAATAACTGGCTTTAAAAAAGTCATCATTTTTCAGAATAAGTTTTCTAATTTCAAGAAAACAAATAAGCCCAAAAGTAAAACCAGATGATTACTGTAATTTGCTTAATGCTTCTGTTTTCAAAAATTAATAAATGATTTATGCAGGTAAGATACCGGACCATTTCACATTTGCAAGCATCCTGAGGGCATGTGGTTTAGTCAAGGATTTCTTAAATGCTGATAAAATGCATTCCCTCATTATCAAATCTGGATTTGCAAATCATTATGCTGTCGCTGGATCACTTATTGATGCATATGTAAAATGCAGGAGAATAACTAGTGCCAGATTGCTCTACGACTCTTTGCCTGAACAGGACCTTGTCTCCTGCACTACCTTGATCAGTGGATATTCACAAGATAGAAGTTATTGCAGGGATGCACTGAAACTTTACTGCAAAATTAATCAAACAGGCATGAAAATCGATAATGTAATCCTATGCTCCATGCTTAATGTTAGTGCCAATGAAGCTTCGCTGGACCTCGGAAAGCAGATTCATGCCCGTGCAGTGAAAAATCAATCTAAACACGATGTAGCTTTGCAAAATGCTCTTGTTGACATGTATGCCAAATCTGGAGAGCTCAAAGACGCCCATCTTGCTTTTGATGAGATGAAAAGTAAAAATGTGATTTCATGGACTTCTTTGATTACTGGTTATGGTAAACATGGCCAGGGTACAGATGCAGTGACACTATTCAAGAAGATGGAAGATAACGGGGTGAAACCAAATGATATTACATTTCTTTCCCTTATCTCTGCATGTAGTCATTCTGGTCTCACTAGAAAAGGAATGAATTTCTTTGATTTAATGGTCAACAAATATGCTATCCAACCTAGATCTGAACATTATTCTTGTGTTGTTGATCTTCTTGGACGCCAAGGTCTCATTAATGAAGCTTATAATTTTGTAAAGAAAATGAATTTTAAACCCAACATATCAATTTGGGGTGCTATGTTGGGGGCTTGTGGGATACATGACAATAGATCTCTTGGAGAAGTTGCTGCAGGTAATCTTCTAACCTTATATCCTCAAAAATCAGTAAACTATGTTGTTCTTGCAAATATATATGCGACAGCTAGTTTGTGGGAAAATGCATGGAGGACAAGAAAATTAATGCAACAAAAATCAAGTCAGAAAGATGCAGGCTGCAGCTCTATTGACCTTCCTAGGCATGTGTTGTTATAATCTCACCTTGAGGTTATGATTCTGAGAAGTCATGGACTCAATGCTTCCTTGTTTGTTCTCATGCGTCAGAAAGTAACAGGGCAGATTCTCTTCTCACTGCATGCAACAATTGGTTGAAGAGATAACAGTTCCTGGTATGATTTTCCTCTACCTTCTTCCCTAACATGTGCATATTGTTCTATTGTACTCGTGAAAACTACTTCGAATTTTTCTGTAAGAATGATTTATTTAATTCTTATATGACCTCCATTTTTTGCGCCTTGAAGCTCGACTTATCATATGTTGTTTACGTTGGACTGCATAGTCTGCACAGCCAGTTGTTCTTTTGCTTTGAATACAATAAAACGATCATTAGATGGTTTCGGTTATCTGACTTTCCCTAAAGTGATAACCGTAAACAATGAGAACCTTCAAAACAAAAACCAACATCTTCAAGATATGGGCAAGCATAAACTAAAACTTTTACAGTCAATTCCGTCTCAAGCCAATTTTACTCATCCAACAATTCTCAAGCTTATATTGTACTTTCCTTTATTACGATATAATAAATAAAAAATAATATAATTGTCAATACGCCGCATCATAATGGGGTTGAGTTTCAGTTTATATTTATTTTTTAAGGAATTGTTGGATGAGTAAAATTGAATAGGCTCTAAAAAAAAATTAGATTAAAGAAATTAACTACTAAAACAATATTCTAAAATTCATACCAGGCATTGAATCAAAAGGAATTTTTCAAGGTTTAGAAATTTACTTATCCAATTAGAAATGAACAAAAAAGTTAACAACATATTTGTCTTTTAGTACTACCTTACATACATCAAATTGTAATTTTAAACAATTATTAATCTTTTCAGTCTTGCTCAACAGCTATATATACAAATCATCTAAGACGACTCTCTCTAATCTTATCTTCCACTGGAGCTACTCCAACCTTTTCACATATATGCTCATTTCATATCCTATTTTGGAATGACAAGGAAAAAAAAAAAAACTATTTACTATTTAGCCTGTTGACTTGTCTTTGGTCCGCTTGACTTAGATCAATTAAAATACGTCTCCAAGCCTGCTCGTGACTTTGCAAGTCAAACTTCAATTATATGGTCGTCCAAATCGATTAGGCTTGCTTTTGTATGTTGTCTTCTTCTCAACTTGGCTTCTTACTTGATGTAATATTGTTGTGATTCTTCGATGCATGGCATGTTAAACCTTAGATTCTTGTGCAACTTCTAGTATTTAGAATAATAAAATCATACAATAAATAAATTTATACAACACATTATCTTGTTATAACACATACACGCACAACCATTTAAAAGAAGATTATGAAAATTATTTGCTTGCCTTAGGTCTAGTATTAGAAGTTATTTGGAGTGTACTATGGACCCTCAAATGTCCATAGGCCTATGATGCACAAACACGGACACGGCGACACGTTAGTTATTGAAAATACAGGACATGGACACGAGTTGGACACTGTATTATAGTTTTTTATATTTAAAAAATAGTGCATAAAAATTAAATAAGTATAATTTTAAAAATAATTTGAAAATAATAAGTCATTTAACTAGAATTTGTGCTTAAAATGATTAGTATTAGGATGTCGAGAGTCAGGCGTCGATGCCATTTATTAGTCACTAAGAGAGAAGATGAAAATACCTTCACTATAAAAAAAAATGAAAATGAGAATATTTGATGATTGGGTATTAAGTGCATACGTTGATTTGGTGTTGTGGATAGGAAATAAGAAATTTAGTTTAAATCCCGCCAAATACAAGAATTTATTTTTAAAAAAATTCATAAAATATTTAAGATACATATGTCGGACACGCGTGTTCAATTTGTATTCAATATTTTTTAATCGGACGCGTTTTCGGTGTGTCTGACACGTGTTGGAGGAGTGTCGGGCAAGTGTCGTGTCAGACACGGTGTCGGACATTGCACGCCTCTTTGAGGAGAAGTGTCGGTGCATCATAGCCATAGGCTATACTTCATCTTACTTTGGAATTATTCAATCATATTTATGCAATTTCTATATCAAATGGCCAAGCAGCTTGATAAACCATCTAAACATATGAGAAAGTTCTTAAATGTAGATTTGGGGTATGCTTTGGCCAATTTTTCCTATGTAAGTCATATATTCTCATATGGTGGTTTCTTTTTTCACATAATTTGAACCTTTTGCTCTTCTGTCCCTTCATGTAACACCTCATTTGAAATTATGTTCTCCACCTAAAAAAAACATTAGACTTGGTGTCCATCTATATTTGGTTGCTTTGGTTACATGCAAAAGAGTTAGTCTCAAAATTTCTATCTAAAAAATATATCCTGGTAATGATAAATTGTCTTCAACATTAAATATAAAAATTTTATGCATGTCATTTGACAATTCTAAGAAGTACGCATTTAGTCCAATTTCCTTAAGAATCTTGAAAGACTCACAAGCCCTTGTATGGAGCTTCTTATATTTGGAGATATTCATTTTAAGGCTGGTTCTTATCATCATATATTCACTCTATTTATACTATTTTGTATTTTTAGGTTTATTTATAACCCATATTTTGTATTATTTTGTTTAATTTATTTTCTTATTTTTTATGAAGGCCTTAAAATTTTTAACAAAGGTAAATGCAAAGTTTAAAAATATATGAAGTAGAACATTTTTTTTTTTAGTTTTTTTATATGAAATGCAACATTAGTAATGTCAATGGGTCTTTTCGGTTGTAATCATAGTCTACTTCAAATGGAGTTGGCTTGATAGTTTTAGTTTTAAAATTAGTGCTATTATAGATACATTTAGATGTGATTAAATATAGATCCTGATTACTGGGATCCTCCTCACCAGCATCATAATAGGTTCCCTAATGACCTATTTACTATCTCTATTTTCCCATCTATTTGTGGGTGAAAAGATGAAGAGAACTGAAGTGTAGCATCAATTAGTTTTCATTAGATTTTCAATAAATTTAACATCCAGATCACAAACTATGACCTTAGGCAATCCATATGATCTATCAATCTCTTTTAAAAATATTGCAACATGTGATGCATTATTGATTTTAGAGTGTTTTATTTTGGAGAATCTTTCAAGTACAACAAAATGCTCCATATCCCTCCAACTGTCTTAGGTAGAATGAAATAAAATCTATAAGGTTCTCACAAGATCTAGAAGAAACTTACAAATCAATTTATCTTTGTGAACTCCAAAAATTTGCGCCTCGGCTTGTTCGCGGACCCCTTTCTCTTCTTTTTAGGTTCGTCGAGGAGAGTTTTAACGAGTATGTTCCGAGGCAAATTTTCAGAATGCATATTGGATTTTAAATAATACACTTCCTAGAGATTTCACCCTCATTTTGTTAGGACTTTATAATATGAGTTCATGTTTTCTATAGGCGCAAGCCTATAGTTAATTAACCCTCCCGATAACAAGAGAGAACTTTCGATTAAGGCTAGTCATCAAATAGATACATAGTATCTGACGTATAGTAGCAGTAGAGTTTATGTATTTGAAAATTTAATATTTAAAATTAAAAATTCACCACCTCGTACTTAAAGCGGATGGTGGGGGGAGTGATGATAGACCCGATCAAGATCCCATGGTTCAGTCATCCCGGGTTATTATGGTTCTTAGTCTACTTAGTCAAAGGAGATAGTAGACTCAATTTGATCGAAGGATTCATATCGGCAGACATGTGTTGCTTCGTACATGGATACTTTGACCCTGGGGTAAATATTTATATAAAGGGGTAAATCTGAATCCATCTTAGCTAATATAGGGCTTTGTGCTCTATCAATCATATCTTATTGATTCAACTCAATAATTTAGTGCATTTAGGGAATATACGAGCTTTGACGATGACTGTAATTTAATGGTGCCAATTAGCTGTAGAACCACCCAGTCAGAGTGTCCCGGTCATAACCTTTTACCTATGGTGCCATTTGACGGCAAGACCATTGGCTAGAGGACACATGCCACATCGTTACTGACAAGATACAAATTGATAATGAATTCTAGTGATATTCTTGAATAGACCATGGTTTAAAATTGCGTAATATGAGGCTCGCCTTTGCACAATTCCAGTAAAAAATGCCTCGATGCTTACGCCTCGAGTTTTTTTATGAGGCTTGCGCCTCAACTTGGTTGAGGTCCGCCTCGCCTCACTAGTATTAAATCTTACATAAATCTTGAAGTAAATGCCCGACATTGGACTCTATAGGAGAGAAGGAAGGGGAGAGAGCAGTTCATCATAATGATGATTCAAATGAAGAACCCCTTGGTGATGACAGTGCTGATGACTTATGAGTTCTTATGTAATATGTCATTGCTATTTATTTTTGGAAATTGTAATTATATGTTAATGAAAAGAATACTGGGATTTGGGAAAGATAGAATTTGGAGTTGAATTATATTTCATGTTGTCTTATTATTGGAATATTTTAATTTCACTTCATATATTATGCATTTTTATGTTTTATATTATTCACTCATTAGTATGTAAAAATTTTATCATTTTATGTTTACGCAATCTTTTGATTTTGAGGCGTACGCCTCAAAATGCCTTGAGGCTTACGCCTCGCCTCAAGAATGAAAACGCCTCAATACCCGAATACGCAATTTTAAACATTGGAATAGACATTTGCTTTTTATGAGTTGAAGTGAATTTCAAACTGTCCACCTTGATAAATTGTTGCGGAGGGTGGATGAGTATTTTGCTTTAAGTATTTAATGATGAATTTCAATTTTAAATATCTTAGGTTATGGTTTTTTTAGAATTTTAAAATTTTATGTGCATTTGTGAGTCATTTTTAAACATTTGTGATCCCCTATGATTGAGATTTTTTATCAATGCAGCCATCATCGTAGTTTTTATGGGCTATTTCATTTTATTGGTTGTACCTCATCGACTATGTCAACTTGCCGATAGAGGATCGTGTTCGTTATCAGCTTTATGCCTTTGTTAATGAATTTTTCTTATTATAGGCCTTGAACGCATAATATAAACGTATAAAATAAATATCCATGTCGACATCACAACTGTATATTTGTTTAACGGTTCGACCTGTGTCAACTCCTATTGATCCATAAAGAAGAATCAGACTCAAACTTGAGTTCATTTTTTCTCGCACAATATCCTCAGACGTCATGTGTGTACCTACAATACGCTCACTATGGCCCATACAGGTATATATGCTT